GGATGAATATTATTCTGCAATGAAGGAAATAATATTGCTTTTTGCAAATACACATCACAGTATCAACGCTACTATTTTGTTACGTTTTGTTCCAAAAATGTTGGATGTCTCCAGGGAGTTGCATGCTTAATTGTTATGTCTGATGGAGTTGTATGGCCTTGATTGTGTTTCATTCTCAGTTTATCCTGAACTTAAAAAGATTAAGAAAAGGCAAATGAGTTTGATTGTTCTTAACAAGATTTCAGAACGTTGCAGAAGTTAGAAGAGCTTCACAATTCCATTGTGACAGCATGCCCTAATTCAGAACTACGAACGTCCATGACGATCCTTCGTGATGCAGTGGTCTCATGAAATAAGGAAACGTATTCGTGCTAGGAACACACACAGATTTCGGACTTGTATTTTGTAGATAATAATACTTTGTTTCATAATAAACAATTTGTCAAGTGTTATTTATTTACTGGTAATCGTGCATGTTTCAGTCGGGCAAATCATAATTAATATTTGATACACTGTTTTTTGCCTATTTCAGACACATCCAGAAATATGCTCCCGATTTTAAACATTAATATCTCCGTGAATTTTTAAGTCAAATACAACTGTAATATATCAAAATCTAAGTTAGTCCTTCCTCTATTTGATGCAAGTTATTTCTCTTTAAAAGGTTTACTTGTTTAGAAGTTATTACGAATCAAACCGGAGTACTTTTTTTTGGGACACCCGGTATACCAAACTGACATATATGTAAAATGTCTGCAAGTATCTGTCACATATCTGTTGCAGTACTGCAGCATAACTGCAACAAGGCCTACAATATCTGCATAAAAGTTGCAGATATTTTGCAGATATGTTGATATCTGTTAACATATCTGCAAAATATCTGCATAAAAGTTGCAGATATTTGCAGATATGTCAATTGTCTGTCAAAATATCTGCAAAATACCTGCATAAAAATTGCAGATATATGTAGATATGCCAATTGTCTGTCAATATAGTTATACAGTGTCTGTAACTGCACAGCAAAAAATAATTTCTTATTGAGAAAACAATTCTTACTTCAAGAAAATATTTGTTGAAATGAGAAACCAATTTTCTTAATTAGAAAACGGATTTTCAAAATGAGAAGTACTTGATTTGCAAGAGTAATAACAAATTATTTTTACTTAAATTTTCTCAAAGAACGAAAATAAATATGTTAAAATTTAAATATAACATCTTTTGCAATTTTTGCCTATTTTTTCCAAAATGATATATTTTCCGCAATACTGGTATTCTTTTAACAAGATGTCAAATGTCATCCTGGATTTAGTTTCTATATGGGTTAGTATATTCACATTACTGTAATTGTTTTTTTGCAAAAGAGATCACAATGCATATTCTGGGGTCATTTGGAGGGACAAAATATATGGAGACAGGCATCAAATATGTGAAAGAGTAGAAGTATCTACTATCAAATATCAACTTTTTACATGACCAAAAATGAAATATCTTCTTTTTACATTAACTTTAATTTAAACGTGTGCTGCTATATTTCTTGTCCCTCCAACAAGGGATTTGTGCAACTAGACCCAGGACTTTGGGAAATAGCTAAATAAATATACAAATTCTCTTCTATGTCTTCTATCATATTTATCTTTGTTAATTAATTTGTTATTAAAGTAAATTTGGGACAAAAATATTGTGTTTTATTTATATTAAAATGCTACACTTGCCCCCTTTAGGAAAGGAGACCTTGCCCCACCCCCTTTCCATCGTCCCTGATACCATATAACTACATTCTAATTTAATTTCTAAAGTTGAGTTCTTTCCAAGTTTTATTGAATCATTGTAGAGAATTTTGATTTTCCGAGAATTTATTATAAATAAATTAACAGTCAATAACTGATTGAAAACATTTGTAAATATTCCTTATATTCGTAGAGCTAGAAACTATATTGCATGCCTTGCATGACAACTGAAGCAATAGTTCGCGCATTGCCTGGAGGCCTGGTGCCTAGTTTAAGTGTGGGAGCGCAAAGTGTCATGGGATAGCGTCGTTTCGAATTTTTGTGCTAAAAATTTGAAAGCACATTTACATGTCTTATGCATGTGTCATCGGCCATCCCAGGGGTGGGGACCCCGGGCTAATCATTGTAAATGAGGGGACTTTGCAGGGGGATTGATTCCAAAATTGCTCCGTGATCCCAGGGGATATCACAACATTGGCGAAGAACAAGCCCTTGTCCGGGAGAAAATACCCGGGGAAGTAAAAAAATATGGTCAGCGGTTAATACTGAATTCGTCATGTAATAACTAGCGATTTGAATATCATCGTTCCAATTTCCAAAATACACATCTCTTCGGCTGCGATTTATCAGAGTTTTTTAATCTATGTGCATCGTGTCCTAAATTTTTAAATATGGGGCAACAGCAAGAAAAAGGCTGTTGTGGCTGATAGCTTGACAGATTTACTGAAAAAAGGTACGTTATTTAAACGAATATTTTATGTTGATTTGCGAGATGATTTGCATATGTAAATTTTGTATTTGTATATTTATAATCTCAATATAAATCGCATTTCTAAGTAAAATAACATCGAGTACATTGTTTGTAATATGACAGGCAAAGAAAAACTAGAAATGGGCAATGTCGAAAGGCTGAAAGTCTGCATGACTGACGGTACTGAGATTGATGATGACGAAATTTTGAAAAGTTGCTCTGATGGAACTATCCTTCATTTCATCTGCGAGTCGGATGCAGAGGCCTCTCAAGAAATGGCTGAAAAACCCAGTTCCCAGAGGGTTTTTTCGTCAACCAGTTAGTATATTATAAAATAGATGTATATATTTTTTATACTTTTCTTGTCAAAAAAATATATAAGGTCAGATGAGATGGGGTACATTTGTTTAATATACCTCCCCCAGTATGCAACGTAACATTTTTGTGCAATAACAGAAGGAAATTGTGTGCACCAGAGAGGGATTATTGGGTAAAACTGTAAATTGTGCACCAATTTGTGCATCAAGAGCAGCCTTTGTGCACGGCACATGTGCGATGCACATCGCCTTCATTCCATACTTGCCTCCCCCCAGATCAATCTAGTATTTAAATAAAGGCCTTTTCTGAAAGGTCGTTAACAAATTCTTACCAGTACAGTCTCTTGTTCCCTATCATATATGGCATGCTGCAATGCATGAATGTATGATGTATATCATCATATACCTGACCATAATCCTAATCCTCAATTTCATCCAAAGTCTACTCCCCCCCAACCCTACTAGACTTTTACTTGTGGGACAACCTTAAGCAGCTATATTATATATGCATATAGATCTGTATGTCATACATCATCATAGGAAACAAGAGACCATGTTGTTCTGACAGGGTCGAGGTATTTTAGACTTTATCCATAGAGGATGGGGTGGCTGTGTAGGTGTATATTGAGTACTAATAGAAAATTGGCACACCCTAATTTTTTGTTTTGAATATAAATAAAAAAAACTCTCAAAATTCTGTTTTGTTTGGCAAGATGCCCATTTTGAAAAATGGAATATTTATGTGAGCTGAGTAACAGTAGAATACTGACAGTATTATTGGCATATGTTACCTAGCTCCTGTTAAAAAGAACAAATTTAAACAAATGACACTGACTGCTGGCATTGGAAACACAATTTCTATTGGAGCTGGAGGTACGTAGTGTTGCAATATTATGTAATAACTAGTGGATGAAAGGGATAAATTAAGTTACAGTAAGTATGTTTCTATAAACCAATTGCTGTTAGTGTCGGAAATTTTGTCTACAGTATCTTTGAGAATATTATTCATTTTTTGACACAAATCATTCAAAATCAGGTGTATATAAGAAATTTCACTGCTAAATAAATGTTGCTGCATGTAAAAACAAAAAGTTAACTGTAAAATATACAGTAAGATTAATATTTTATGCTTTGACATTGAAAATAAACAATAAACTGTGAAATATAAACTGCAAAATGCAGATAGCTTGTTAAGATACAATCTTCTCTGTAAGTGACAATATGCAAAGCATTGAGAAATAGAAGCAATGCAAGGTATCTGAATAGCAAATATTGTACAATACATTGTAAATGTCTCCATTGTTAATTTTAGGAGAAAGACAGTGAGCATGAGAGAACACTTGTTGAGCTAAGTGTTGACAAGCTTCAAGAAAGAGCAAAAATATTTTCCTGTACCAATCTCACAAATTATCAACAAAATGTAAATGCTGCTGCCCTAGAGTTATGCAAGGATGATGCAAGTCTTTTATTAAATAAGGGAAAATTATTTGAAGAAGCTCGGTTAAAAGTGGATGCTTCTGGATATCAATATGCAAAAATGGCATCAAGATCAACTGTCTATGGCACTGGCAAGCAACCAGGAAAACCAAAACGAAAATATGTAGGTGCTGAAATAAGAGCTGCTAGAGTAAAAGAGCTAACAGAGTCCATATCATCTCTTAAAGAAACGATTGAGTTGCTATGTAAACAAAAGCAGCAGTACAGCAATGCTGAAAAGTTCCTTCAAGCAGCCGATGTTAATTCATCCATTCTTGAAAAAAATCGAGAGAAAGGCATGCTTGAAAACGAGTTGAAAGCACTCAACAAATCAGAAAAGGCGTTGAGAAGTAAAAGAAGTTCCTGAGTCAGTTGGAAGCAGTGATGTATTTGTTAGCAGTGATAATCCTGTAATTAATGATGAAATTAGTGATGAAATTAGTGATGAAATTAGTGATACACCATGGCCTTTGGTAAGGGAAAATACAACTGTTGGTATCAGTACTTCTTCTTCTGTCACATCGTCGCAGAGTCGAACCAGCAGTGAATCAGTCCAGGATTTTCCAGAATCCCCAAAGTAGATTCATCTACTTTGGGGGGCACAAATGAATGCCACCTCAACTCTGAGAAATGTCTTGCAAAATACATGAAATATATGAAGCAAAATCTCACTATACAATGACTTGTATATTTCATGTATTAAGGACATGTCTTTAGCTGAATTTATTGTGGCAGTTAAAAGACACTGTAGTGATATTCACAGTGATCGAATTTGTGTTACATGTAAACCTGTTGTTATTGCTGCGAATGAAATAGCAAAAAAGGGGATTGTTCCATTATCAGCATTATACAGACAATGTTTTGGAACTGTATATAAATCAGACAAAGCTATTCGCCGTATAAGTCAACTTCCAGTGATTATTTTTCGTTCATTTAATCAGTTATTTGTAACTGAGTTTGTTGACAGAGTTGACTATACAAAACTTGTTCAGTGTGTTTATAAGTATATTCCCCAGAAAACAATGTCATCAGGAGTAGACAAAGATAGTTTACAATTGATGTGTGAGTTAGCCAGCAGTGAAAAGGATAGAAAATTAA